TTTGTTAACTTTTTGCTTGCTAGTTAGGTACTTTTTGGTTGTTTGATTGCTTGCTTGTTTGATTTCTTTAGCTGCCTGTTTGAGTGTTTGGCTGCTTCATTGCTTGCGTTTGTGCTTCTTGTTTCGTTTGTCCCTCGCATGAAGCAATATCTATGCAGCTTGCAGGATGGTCTCACTGGCAGCGCCTGGGGTGACTGGGCCAACTATACCGCTTCGCCTTTGCGTGCCTTCGAGAACGAGCTTGGAGTGCAAGCGCCAGTGGGGTTCTGGGACCCGGCAGGGTTTACGGCCGACGGCAGCACTGAGAACTTCGCCCGACGCCGCCAGACGGAGCTGAAACATGGTCGCATTTCCATGCTGGCTACTTGGTCAAGGTTCGGTAATATCTTACATCTTTGGCTTTTACTGAAACGATGGCATGCAAGCATGTTGACATTTATATCTTGATTTACAACATTGACGAAGGCTACTATGGGCTATATCACCCCGGAGATCACCGGCAAGTTCCCTGGGTACTTGTCTCCTAGCGCAGGCCTGAAGTTCGCCGATGTGCCCAACGGCTTGGCTGCGATTTCCAAAGTTCCGGCAGCAGGGTGGGGTCAAATCTTGGCTTACATGGCCTTCTGCGAGGTGTCCCAGGACCAGTCGGCGGGAACACCTGCTGCGGCCGGTGACTTCGGATTCAAGGTGCTGACTGCCTCTGACCCGGAGGCGAAGAAGACGAAGCTAGCGGCCGAGTTGGCGAACGGAAGGCTTGCGATGATGGCCATCATCGGCATGTTTTTCCAGGCCTGGTGTTTCATGATAGTAAGTTGGAGGGACATGCCTGGTCTGACATGTAGTAAACATCATCGACATGTTTACATGCAAGCCGCTCTAGACATGGTTGTTTGTTGAATTACCACATATACCGGCGTGCTTCGCGAAAACATCAATCACACGGGTGCAGACCAATCGTTGCGTGCGATTGATTGATTGATTGATTGATTGATTGATTGATTGATTGATTGATTGATTGATTGATTGATTGATTGATTGATTGATTGATTGATCGATTGATTGATGGATTGCTTGCTTGCTTGCTTGCTTGATTTTGTTTGTTTGTTTGTTTGTTTGTTTGCTTGCTTGCTTGCTTGCTTGCTTTGCTTGTTTGCTTTTTGTTTCCTTTGTTCCTCGCATGAAGCGATATCTGTGCAGCTTGCAGGATGGTCTCACTGGCAGCGCCTGGGGTGACTGGGCCAACTATACGGCTTCGCCTTTGCGTGCCTTCGAGAACGAGCTTGGAGTGCAAGCGCCAGTGGGGTTCTGGGACCCGGCAGGGTTTACGGCCGACGGCAGCACTGAGAACTTCGCCCGACGCCGCCAGACGGAGCTGAAACATGGTCGCATTTCCATGCTGGCTACTTGGTCAAGGTTCGGTAATATCTTACATCTTTGGCTTTTACTGAAACGATGGCATGCAAGCATGTTGACATTTATATCTTGATTTAAAACATTGACGAAGGCTACTATGGGCTATATCACCCCGGAGATCACCGGCAAGTTCCCTGGGTACTTGTCTCCTAGCGCAGGCCTGAAGTTCGCCGATGTGCCCAACGGCTTGGCTGCGATTTCCAAAGTTCCGGCAGCAGGGTGGGGTCAAATCTTGGCTTACATGGCCTTCTGCGAGGTGTCCCAGGACCAGTCGGCGGGAACACCTGCTGCGGCCGGTGACTTCGGATTCAAGGTGTTGACTGCCTCTGACCCGGAGGCGAAGAAGACGAAGCTAGCGGCCGAGTTGGCGAACGGAAGGCTTGCGATGATGGCCATCATCGGCATGTTTTTCCAGGCCTGGTGTTTCATGATAGTAAGTTGGAGGGACATGCCTGGTCTGACATGTAGTAAACATCATCGACATGTTTACATACAAGCCGCTCTAGACATGGTTGTTTGTTGAATTACCACATATACCGGCGTGCTTCGCGAAAACATCAATCACACGGGTGCAGACCAATCGTTGCGTGCGATTGATTGATTGATTGATTGATTGATTGATTGATTGATTGATTGATTGATTGATTGATTGATTGATTGATTGATTGATTGATTGATTGATTGATTGATTGATTGATTGATTGATCGATTGATTGATCGATTGATCGATCGATCGACTGATGGATTGCTTGCTTGCTTGCTTGCTTGCTTGATTTTGTTTGTTTGTTTGTTTGTTTGCTTGCTTGCTTGCTTGCTTTGCTTGTTTGCTTTTTGTTTCCTTTGTTCCTCGCATGAAGCGATATCTGTGCAGCTTGCAGGATGGTCTCACTGGCAGCGCCTGGGGTGACTGGGCCAACTATACGGCTTCGCCTTTGCGTGCCTTCGAGAACGAGCTTGGAGTGCAAGCGCCAGTGGGGTTCTGGGACCCGGCAGGGTTTACGGCCGACGGCAGCACTGAGAACTTCGCCCGACGCCGCCAGACGGAGCTGAAACACGGTCGCATTTCCATGCTGGCTACTTGGTCAAGGTTCGGTAATATCTTACATCATTGGCTTTTACTGAAACGATGGCATGCAAGCATGTTGACATTCGTATCTTGATTTAAAACATTGACGAAGGCTACTATGGGCTATATCACCCCGGAGATCACCGGCAAGTTGCCTGGGTACTTGTCTCCTAGCGCAGGCCTGAAGTTCGCCGATGTGCCCAACGGCTTGGCTGCGATTTCCAAAGTTCCGGCAGCAGGGTGGGGTCAAATCTTGGCTTACATGGCCTTCTGCGAGGTGTCCCAGGACCAGTCGGCGGGAACACCTGCTGCGGCCGGTGACTTCGGATTCAAGGTGCTGACTGCCTCTGACCCGGAGGCGAAGAAGACGAAGCTAGCGGCCGAGTTGGCGAACGGAAGGCTTGCGATGATGGCCATCATCGGCATGTTTTTCCAGGCCTGGTGTTTCATGATAGTAAGTTGGAGGGACATGCCTGGTCTGACATGTAGTAAACATCATCGACATGTTTACATGCAAGCCGGCGTAGTTTTTTTTTTCTTTTTTTTTTTCTTTTCTTTTAAACCACATATACCAGCGGGCTTCGTGAAAACACCAATTACACGGGTGCAGACTAACCGGTGCGTGGTTCGTTTTTTTTTGTTTTTGTTTTTTTGTTTGCTTGCTTCCTTGCTTGCTTGCTTTTTTTTTTGTCTTGTTTTTGTTTGCTTGCTTGCGTGCTTGTCTGTTTGATTGCTTATTCTTGTTTTTGTTTTCTAGTTGTGTTCTTTTTTGTAGTTTTCATTGTTTGTTTTTAATTAGTTAGTTTGTTGTTTGCGGGTTCACTCGTTCGTTTTTTGGTAGTTTTGTTTCTTTTTTGATTGTTTGTTTGTTGGGTGCCCCGAGTTCTTTTTTTCTTATTCTGGCCGGCTGGGTCGTGGATTGGTCTCCGGTCGGTCGGTCGGTCGCTCTCTCGGACGGTTGGTCGGCAAGCCCACGAACATTTCAAGCCGGGTCACGCACGCGTGTCGCCCGGGATTTGCCGGCGCGACAGATGGGGGTTGCTTAATGAATCTCCTTGATTTGCCCGGGGGTTGCTGAATGAAGCTCCTCGATTTGCCGGCGTGACAGACTTGAAGTATTCCACTCCATCAGCAAAACAAGAGTCAGGGCATGCATGCGTTCCCAGCACCGCAGTTGCATGAAACATAGCTGCGCCCTTTTCACTCGACGTCTTTGCCCACACAGTGGCGCGTTGGGAGCAGATGCTGCGATGCATGAACTCGATATTCGCCATTGGACGGCTTTCGGGGGTTGCGTTGGTCCAGACAGAGCCAGCCAGCCACCATCCCATCCCATCCCATCCCATCCCATCCCATCCCATCCCATCCCATCCCATCCCATCCCATCCCATCCCATCCCATCCCATCCCATCCCATCCCATCCCATCCCATCCCCCCATCCCATCCCATCCCAACCCGTCCGTCCCGTCCCGTCCCGTCCCGTCCCGTCCCGTCCCGTCCCGTCCCGTCCCGTCCCGTCCCGTCCCGTCCCGTCCCGTCCCGTCCCGTCCCGTCCCGTCCCGTCCCGTCCCGTCCCGTCCCGTCCCGTCCCGTCCCGTCCCATCCCATCCCATCCCATCCCATCCCATCCCATCCCATCCCATCCATCAATCCACCCAGCCATCTTCTCCACTCAAAGTTTGTGAAACACAGGAAACGTGTTTGTTTGTTTGTTTGTTTGTTTGTTTGTTTGTTTGTTTGTTTGTTTGTTTGTCGGAGTTGTCGGAGTTGTTTGTTTGTTTGTTTGTTTGTTTGTTTGTTTGTTTGTTTGTTTGTTTGTTTGCTCGCTTGTTAATGTATTTGTTAACTTTTTGCTTGGTTAGGTACTTTTTTGGTTGTTTGATTGCTTGCTTGTTTGATTTCTTTAGCTGCCTGTTTGAGTGTTTGGCTGCTTCATTGCTTGCGTTTGTGCTTCTTGTTTCGTTTGTCCCTCGCATGAAGCAATATCTATGCAGCTTGCAGGATGGTCTCACTGGCAGCGCCTGGGGTGACTGGGCCAACTATACCGCTTCGCCTTTGCGTGCCTTCGAGAACGAGCTTGGAGTGCAAGCGCCAGTGGGGTTCTGGGACCCGGCAGGGTTTACGGCCGACGGCAGCACTGAGAACTTCGCCCGACGCCGCCAGACGGAGCTGAAACATGGTCGCATTTCCATGCTGGCTACTTGGTCAAGGTTCGGTAATATCTTACATCTTTGGCTTTTACTGAAACGATGGCATGCAAGCATGTTGACATTTATATCTTGATTTACAACATTGACGAAGGCTACTATGGGCTATATCACCCCAGAGATCACCGGCAAGTTGCCTGGGTACTTGTCTCCTAGCGCAGGCCTGAAGTTCGCCGATGTGCCCAACGGCTTGGCTGCGATTTCCAAAGTTCCGGCAGCAGGGTGGGGTCAAATCTTGGCTTACATGGCCTTCTGCGAGGTGTCCCAGGACCAGTCGGCGGGAACACCTGCTGCGGCCGGTGACTTCGGATTCAAGGTGTTGACTGCCTCTGACCCGGAGGCGAAGAAGACGAAGCTAGCGGCCGAGTTGGCGAACGGAAGGCTTGCGATGATGGCCATCATCGGCATGTTTTTCCAGGCCTGGTGTTGCATGATAGTAAGTTGGAGGGACATGCCTGGTCTGACATGTAGTAAACATCATCGACATGTTTACATGCAAGCCGCTCTAGACATGGTTGTTTGTTGAATTACCACATATACCGGCGTGCTTCGCGAAAACATCAATCACACGGGTGCAGACCAATCGTTGCGTGCGATTGATTGATTGATTGATTGATTGATTGATTGATTGATTGATTGATTGATTGATTGATTGATTGATTGATTGATTGATTGATCGATTGATTGATCGATTGATCGATCGATCGATCGATCGACTGATGGATTGCTTGCTTGCTGGCTTGCTTGCTTGCTTGATTTTGTTTGTTTGTTTGTTTGTTTGCTTGCTTGCTTGCTTGCTTGCTTGCTTGCTTGCTTTGCTTGTTTGCTTCTTGTTTCCTTTGTTCCTCGCATGAAGCGATATCTGTGCAGCTTGCAGGATGGTCTCACTGGCAGCGCCTGGGGTGACTGGGCCAACTATACGGCTTCGCCTTTGCGTGCCTTCGAGAACGAGCTTGGAGTGCAAGCGCCAGTGGGGTTCTGGGACCCGGCAGGGTTTACGGCCGACGGCAGCACTGAGAACTTCGCCCGACGCCGCCAGACGGAGCTGAAACATGGTCGCATTTCCATGCTGGCTACTTGGTCAAGGTTCGGTAATATCTTACATCATTGGCTTTTACTGAAACGATGGCATGCAAGCATGTTGACATTCGTATCTTGATTTAAAACATTGACGAAGGCTACTATGGGCTATATCACCCCGGAGATCACCGGCAAGTTGCCTGGGTACTTGTCTCCTAGCGCAGGCCTGAAGTTCGCCGATGTGCCCAACGGCTTGGCTGCGATTTCCAAAGTTCCGGCAGCAGGGTGGGGTCAAATCTTGGCTTACATGGCCTTCTGCGAGGTGTCCCAGGACCAGTCGGCGGGAACACCTGCTGCGGCCGGTGACTTCGGATTCAAGGTGCTGACTGCCTCTGACCCGGAGGCGAAGAAGACGAAGCTAGCGGCCGAGTTGGCGAACGGAAGGCTTGCGATGATGGCCATCATCGGCATGTTTTTCCAGGCCTGGTGTTTCATGATAGTAAGTTGGAGAGACATGCCTGGTCTGACATTTGGAAAGCGTGTTTACAAGCAAGCCGCCGTGCGTTCGTTTGTTTTGTGCATTAGCGCATGCAGCGGTGTGCTGAGCGACGACAGCATCATTCACACTGATGAACTGTGCATGCTTGTGTTTTGTGATGTCCTACTGTTTTTTGTTTGGTTTGTTTTGTTTGTTTGTTCTTCGGGGAGGGCTTTGAACACCATTTGATTTTATGGGCCAGACTCGTAACAAAGCGCAATGAACCCACATGAGGATGCACATCGCAGGATGGCCTGACTGGCAGCGCCTGGGGAGACTGGGCGAACTACACGGCTTCCCCGCTGAGGGGGACGCAAGCTGAGATGTGAGGCTTTGTGGTGCGTGTGTGAGTGTCTCTGTGTGTACGTGTGTCTGTGTGTGTGTGTGCGTGCACGAGGGTGTACCTTGTCTATCAGCAGTTTCTTTTTTATGCATTTGCATGCAACGCCCAGAATCCTTGCAGCCGTCGCAGGCAATTGGCTTGACAACGCAAGGATGCAAAGCTCAGGGCAGAATCACCTTGCAATTGCCTTGTGGATGACTCGTGCCTTCGTTTTGTGCGCAACCGGCAGGCCGGGCTTGGTAGTTTTCGAAGTCCCGCGTAGCTGTGGGACTCGAAGGAATTCGCTGTCGCAAAGTCTTTTGGATTTGATAAGTTTGGCCGATGCCTTTGAGAAGGATAAGTCACTGAGCAAGACAAAACAGGCATCATAGTTGTCTCAGATGAACCGATCAGTACCATTGACATGAAGGTGAGATTCTGAGAATCTCTAAGTGTTTCCAACGGCGAAATTCTGAGATGAGACACTAGATCAGATCCGAAGACTGGTGGGTTTTAACACGCGTACTGAACAAAACAACACACACACACACACCACAGACACACAGACGCACACACACACACACACTTGCTTGGTTTGGAAAGAACCCGCACTTCGCGGCGGAGCCTCATCCGGCATTGCGGCGCCATGCCGGGTGCAGCGCTGGGCGGCTCTTGGCGGGGAAGGGGGGGGGTTGTAGATAAGCGGGACATGCATGTTCGTGTGTTTGGCCCGGCTTCAATAGTTGAAAGGAAGTCAAAAAGTTTTCAAGTGGTTTGCGCAGAACATATTCTTGGAACTTGGCTTCACCCAGCGTGATTTTGCCGTTGAAGCGAGCTGATTCCAATTCGAACACATCAACATGAAGGACTCGGTATTTGCGTCAGACATTGCATGGAATGCTCCATGGAATAAAGATCATTGTGCGAGTGAGGCTTCGGTGTTAAACAGCCACCTGTGCCTGTGTCTAGACCTGCTCCAGTTTCTCTTTGATCCTTGGGAAGGAGAGCCTGGAAGACCCAATGCTAGTCCCAAAGGAAGCTGCAACAACAACGACGACGACACCACAACAACAGCAACAGCAACAGCAACACCAGCAGGAGCAGCAGCAACAGCGACTGCAACAGCAACAGCAACAGAACCATAACGTGCAAGCAACAACAGCACCAACGCCGACACCAACGCCAACGCAAACCCAAAATCAACACCAACAACACAACCACAACTGCAACCACAAGGTCAAGGACACGGACAAGGATAAGTTCAAGCATAAGGTCAAGGACAAGGAAGACGACGACAAAACGACACCGATGACAGCAACAACAGCAACGACAGCAATCATGACCACAACGAAAACGACAACGACAACCACAACCACAACAACGGCAGCATGTTTTTTTCATGGTTTTCTCAACCTTGCTTTTTTGGTGAAAGTGGAATCTGGATCCCTCAAAGCCTTTATCCCAGCCCATTTCAGTTAACCCCCCCACCCCTCAGCCAGGGACAAAATGGAAGCGCCGGGGTGGGGGGGGGGTCGTCAAAGAACGAGTTTTTTTTTGGGGACGCTCTCCCCCCGCGAGTCGGCAGTGGTGCTGCAGTAGTTGCAGCAGCAACAACAAAACAATGGAACAAACCAGCCACAACAAAACAACAAATCAACGAGTCATCAAACCATCAAACTAACAAAACAGTACACCGACAAAGCAACAAGCCAACAAAACAACACAACCAAAACAACACAACAAAGCAACCACGACAGCAGCAACAGCAACAAGAACAACAGAAACTCCCGCAAGGCACTTGTTGTGAGCGCTGTCGGCCCTGGAGCCAGGTCACTGCGATAGGCATCGGCCTGGCGCTGGTTGCGTGCAGGAGCTTGACATGTGGGCATGGGTTGTGGATGTCAGTAACGCAAAGCGGTGACGCTGCCTGTTAATTTGCTGTTGCTTTGGTTAGCAGGTTGTCAATATTGCGGCTGCCATTTTTCCATTGGGCAGCGAGTCGGGATGATGGACTTCTTGAGCCGCGGCAGTTGTCACTTCAAACACTGAAACCAGTGCCATGTCAACCGATTTAGCGTTTCCACATTCCGATGCTGGGCTCTTTACAAGTCCATTTTCAAGGGCGCTCCGCTTGATAGGATATCCCCAATCCGGGATGTGCTTTTTTTTTGGATTATCTTCCAATCATTTGGATCAAGTGGAGGCAGAGGTGGTACGGGATTGAATTTGGGATGCGAGAGTATCTCAAAATGCACAACCCCCCCCCTCCTTCCCCCGGAAAAAAAAGAAAAACAAAAAAACAATCTCTTGGTTCTTCTTTGAACAGGTTCCAACCACACCCAAAAAATCACACCCATGTGCCATGTCTTTCGTTCGACCTAAAGTGGCCGTGCGCAGTCGAAGGCACAGGGCCTTGGAGCTATGGAGACCTTAGTCCCCTACCACGAGGCGCGCCTCGGACGGGGCAGTTTGCATTAAAGGGGCAGCCCTATTGGAGGGTTAAGGCAAATAACAGTGAATCAAAATCCCCGCGCTCTATGTTGATATATATGTATCTACATTCAAGTTTTGGGTATGCATCAAGACTCTCGAGACCCCTTGAGGTGCGTTTTGGTCGAAGTTCGGTTATGGGGGGAACAAAAGGGTCCTTTGACGCAGGACCATTTACTCATGTCGGATCAGGAAGGTATGTGGCTGAGTGCCTGAGTGGCTGAGTGGCTGAGTGGGTTGGGGGTCAGGGGGTAAGAGTGGCTGAGTGGCTGAGTGGCCATTAAATTCAATAGTTACCGTCTTTTTAAAATTTCAGGGTTTCAAGACCATCATGCAATTTTTCGATTTTGGTGAATCGGATAGGCAAGTAAGCAAGTGCCCCTTTGTGTTGAGTGACTTTTTCCACGTTCAAGGAAGCCGTAAAACATTACAAACAAGCACTTCAATATTGGCTAACGAAGGCACTTCAATATTGGCCCTCTTTTGACAGACCTAGGCTGTCAAGACACTTGCATGCCTTGATTTTGTTTTACTACGTGAAGAGGGCGCTTGTGACATGGTCTTTTTCCACATTCAAGGAACGTCCAGGTAGCAATGAACCCCGAAACGATGCATTTCAATATTTGCCTTCTCAATTGCCTCGAATTGTGAGAGTGACTTTTTCCACGTTCAAGGAAGCCGTAAAACATTACAAACAGGCACTTCAATATTGGCTAACGAAGGCACTTCAATATTGGCCCTCTTTTGACAGACCTAGGCTGTCAAGACACTTGCATGCCTTGATTTTGTTTTACTACGTGAAGAGGGCGCTTGTGACATGGTCTTTTTCCACATTCAAGGAACGTCCAGGTAGCAATGAACCCCGAAACGATGCATTTCAATATTTGCCTTCTCAATTGCCTCGAAAAGCCCCTTTGTGAGAGTGACTTTTTCCACGTTCAAGGAAGCCGTAAAACATTACAAACAGGCACTTCAATATTGGCTAACGAAGGCACTTCAATAATTGGCCCTCTTTTGACAGACCAGGCTGTCAAGACATTTGCATGCCTTGATTTTGTTTTGCTACGTGAAGAGGGCGCTTGTGAGATGTTTTTTTTTCCACATTCAAGGAACGTCCAGGTAGCAATGAACCACGAAACGATGCGTTTCAATATTTGTCTTCTCAATTGCCCCGAAAGCAGAGGGGACCCTTTGTGTCAGTGTTTTTTTTCACGTTCAAGGACACCTTACAACATTAGAAAACGGCACTCTTGATAGTGGTTTTTGTTTAGGGACCTAGGCTGGCCCGCGTGTATTATATTTTGACCACTAAGTCTGATTGCCAAGTAACAAAAGGGACCCCGTTGTGCAAGCGTCTTGCCACGTCCAGGAGAGTAACCAAGTACAACAAAGCACTATTGCCATGATCACCATGCCATTTTGTCACGTGAGATATATCCGAGATCAAAGCGCCTTGTACCCTGACGTATACATGTTTCTTATTGGCCGTCGTGGCTCTCTCTCTCTCTCTCTCTGGGTGGCATGCTTGTGATGGATTGGTCTGAATTCAAACTCGAACCGGATGCCCACTTAGGTATGGAAAGGCCGTAAGTATATGATCTTCGAACTAATCCTAATCGCTGCAAAGAAAGCTCAGTTGCCTGCAGTCATGAAATTGACCCTTCCATGTTGACATATGTTCAACGAAACTGGATGTGTTAACCCATTTTAGCACCCCTCGGTGACAATTGTTGTTCAAGCGCAGGGTCGGGTCAGGAGGAAGTCAAGTATATGAGAACATCAAGTCAGCCACTCAGACCCTCCCCTGCCCTATCCTAAGCCGTTCGTTCACTCAGCCCTTCCGTCACTCAAGTTTGCCAGACACTTAGCCGCTCCTCGCTCGCCACTCGGCCACTCGGCCACTCAGCCACTCTGACCCCCGCTCACCCGGCCACTCCTCAGCCTCTCAGCCACTTAGCCTCTCAGCCACTCAGCCATTTTAAGGGGCTGGCAGCCACTCCGAGTGGCTGAGTGGCTGAGTGGCTGCGGATCAGTTTCCACCCGGATTCCTCATCCTCTCGGACATCACACATGGGTTTGCCTGGGGCATGCTTGTTCCTTGTAAAGGGATTCCCTTTGTTGGGGTTCTTCATCTTTGGAAGTGACGCCGGTATCAGGTGCCTTACATGGTGGACACGGTGAGCCATGGGGTATTTGGTTGTGCGAAAACAGCTTCTTTGGGATGAGTTTTAACCTGCGATGTTTTTGACAGGGCCAGAGAGGTTTCTGGTTTGCCTGTTTCTGGTTTGCCTTCGGAGCGCTCACAGGGCCTATGTTTTGGTCGGTGCTTCCGGCAGGTGCCTGGCCTGGGTGGCAAGGCCAAAGGCAAAGGCGCCATGACGCTTGGGACGCACTTTGGGTCGTTGTTTGGGTTGATTTCCACTAAGAATGTTGCAACACCCTCCCCCAAAGACTGGCTTCAAAGTCAGTTCCGGACGATGGTGGTTTCGCTGGTGGTGTCCAGCCACGGATTACGGATTAGGGATCCCTTCCGAACAGCCTGTGGCCAAGGGGGGGTTGGCCAAACATGGGGCCCGAAAACCCGAGTGCTATTGAGGAAAACCACGAATCAAGTTAAACGGATGCTCATTGTTGTCCAGTTTCCTGCTATTTGCACCCAGTGGACGCCAGACGTGCATTTGTATTTTGCGGGATGAATGCATACATGCATTAGGGGTGTGAGGTCGTTTGGGCGGACACCCTGTGCATATTGCGAGCTTGTGACCGAATTGCCTCCGAAATCGCCCTGATGGCTTACCGAGGATGGCCGCGGCCGGTCACCTCCCCAGTTTTCGCATATTCCCAGTTTTAATTCATCGTTGTTATGTTTTTTTGTGCTGGGGCCGCACTCGAGCAACTGGACAGGCTGCGTCAGCCCAGGTCGGGGCAAGGGCAAAGGCAAGGCCATGCCGAACGGAAAGGCCCATGGGCGGGTCATGAGCCTCAGTTTCTGGAAATGTGCGGTTTCGCGGATACCACAGCCACAAGTGATCCGGAACCCCTCGTGGGACACCATGGAACAAGAAACCAATTTAATCCTGGGTTCCACTTAAGGATCGCATGGCTGGGCCGGAGGTTCTGGACTGGCAGAGCAAGCGCCGGAGCCGCACCAGCGCGCATGTCGGATGGGGGTGAATTCCAAGTCATTGCGCCTCAAGGCGAAGGATCTCGAAACCCAGAGCCCTTGTGAGTGCGACAAAGTTCTTCAGAGGGACCAGTGGGATCCAATGTATGCAGCAGCCTCCCATCTTGGCCGCAAGTGAGGTGCGGCTGGAAGAAGCCGGAGCCCCTCCAGCCCAAGAAGGCCCTTGGGGTGTGGGAAATCTGAGAAATGAAAATTCGTTGGGGACCAGTTTGGATACTTCATCTCCCTCTTTCGGTTCTCTTCTCTTGTCCTGTTTCAGGGTGGCAGCATGGCGTTTTTGCATCCGTTGGAGCTATGCAGAAGGCGTTTGCAGGAAGTGGACAGATGGCTTTGGTCCTTGACCACGCGATTCGAACATGCTGACTCGTTTCCGTTTCTCTTCTTTGTTTTGTTGTTGTGTCATGGCAGCGCAAAAATGAGTGCCCAAGGCAGCTGCACCGCAGTGGCACGAGCACCGGGCCAGCGCTCTCAGGGGAGTAGCTCGCATCTTCGCACGCGGCTGTGAGATGGTCGCGTGTTGAACACTGCCTCGTGGGCAACTAGATTGTTTGGTTGTGAATTTACTTGAGGGGACTTGTCACTCTGCGGGCCTACTTCCTCGACGTCAAGCTAAGCTTTGTGTTTCTGTGGTCTGCGCTTCCAACTTCTTTCGGTTCCTTTTTGACTCATCCGCTGAGGAGTGTGTCATGTTGTTGCAATCTTGAACCATGCCAGTGGGTCATACACCGCAGCGGCTCTGGCTTTTCGAGACACCTTTGTCTCTGCTATAGCAATGGCGGTCTGGCAGGCTCGTTGTAGAACTCACGTCTGTATGTCTTGCATTTGCACTGTCACAAACACCTAGTCCAAGCTGCCTGGGATGGCCCCACCATGGCACCGCGCTTCAGTGGTTTTGCTATGTTTTGCTGTTTCATGGGGGGTTTGGTATTTGACACGGGGGTTTTGCAGAGCCCCCATCGATCATCCCCGCAGGGGCAGATGAAGCCGGTGGGCAAGGGCGCCTTTAACGCGGCATGGCCGGCGCAGGCACGGGAGCGCGGAAAACCGTCGTTGGCTGTCGCTTGAGGTCTCCTTCGGGCCGAACCGTGCCAACCAAACGGAAACCAAGGGACTCGTGGCAACTTTTGACTGGCTACTGCGCTAAACATCATGTTTTCTGGAATGACAAGCAGGCAGGTTTGGTTTTGAGCAGCTTGATTCCACTGTACTTGTCCTCTGCTGCCAGGTCAATGGCAATGGAGCGCCCACCAACGCAAAGACGAAGACCCTTGGACTGCTGTGGCAAAATGAGTCCGGATGTGTTTGAAGAATCGAACAGAGATGCCTTCCTTTTTGCCTCATATCGCTTTGAGGCTCTGTATTTTCCATATGCTGCTTGGCTGCATGAAGGCTTCCACACAGCAATGAGCTTGGCACTCAATCCAATGGAACACTGGAAGAGGCTCCCAGCGTGTCGCTTTGGCAGGCAAGGGCGCTGCACAAAGGGCGCCGCCTGCACCTATGCGCACTCGCCGGACGAGGTCAAGGGCGGCGGCAAGGCAGACTATGGTTCTGCGAGTTTTGAAGGATGGAAATGGAGCATTCCATCCGCAACTGAGCGTGGCGTGTCAGCCTTTGTATCGCCTCGATCGCCATTTCTTGGCATTGCCCGCCGGCAGGGCATGCCAAGCAAGGGTGGCATGGGCGGCATGGGCGGCATGGGCGGCATGGGCGGCATGGGCGGCATGGGCGGCATGGGCGGCATGGGCGGCAAGGGTGCCAAGGGAGCAATGCCACTTGGAAAGCACTCTGCATGCACTTGACCGCATGAGGCCCGCGGGCTTGAGAGAGTGAGCATCCATTGAGAAATTCAACCCCCGTCGTTCCCCAACCTTTCTTTGCGAGTTTTCCGGTTTGATTTCTGAGGCTTTGCCAGGTTTTGGTATGGAATATGCGCATGAAAACTGGGGGACCACTGACAACAGAGCACTCGTTTATGAGAACCTGGTCTCCCTGTGCCATACTTCCTTTTGTGGGATGGGGCATCCTTGCCTCTGCGCAGCTTTTCCGCAGGCATCAAGAGCGTCATCCTACGCCTTCCGCATACAACAATTGTTGTGTTTATTTGCTTATGTATGTTATCATTATACATATATTTGTTTGTTTGGTTGTTTGTTTGTTTGTTCTATGACTTCTTTCTTGCTTTGCTTTTTTGTTTATTTCTTGATTTCTTCATTTATTTATTTACTTATTTACTCATTTATCAATTTCTTCATCCATGTATCTATTTATTGATTGGTTTACTTTTTTTTGTTCTTTCAACTATTCGTTGATGTTTGTGTGTTTTGTTCCTTGCAAAGGATGATTAAGCGAACTTGCTTTGCTCAAGGAGGGCCGGATGGATAGCCGACCTGGGGATTGGTGAGCGATCTGTTTCTTCGAGGGCTTCCAGGGACTTTGTCGCCTTGTTCACTTAGGTGGGTGTCAAAAGGAAATATTTTGGCGGCACGAACCCATATTATCATCCACTGTTCCAGATGTGCTTTGGCCAGAAACCCGCCACTTTGCTTTCAATTGAGCCGCAATCAAAACTGTGAAGCGGATCTGACGTAGGTGCGGGTATTTGCCCTTGTGTGTCTGCTTTCGGGGAGACCCCTTCAATACCGGATTTGATTATGGCTCAATTGAACTTGTCACGACTCCTTGACTTGGGATAGCCAGAAGCTTCTATAAAGTTCCAGCTTGTCTCACCACTACGCATTTAAATGTCACTGGGACCGGGACAAGGTACGCGTGCACTTCTTGGGTAAAATTGCCAGTGAGCTCTTCAACAAACGTAGCACGGTTTTGTTAACTTTTCCCGTACCCCCTACCTAGTCAGGAGGATTTTTGTAGTTTGTATGTATTTGGCACCGCGGACAGCGGAAAAAGAGGCTTGTAGCCTAGCTTGGGACTTTCACATGTACGTAACCTACAAGGGCCCTTGCCCATGCCCTCCCTTCCTCCGACAAGCATAGCACCAGTGGGAGAGTACCTGAAAGCAATGTTTCTTTTGAAGGGACAACGCGGTGTCATGTTAGTTGGTGGGTACCCTAACAGAGGCCTTGCCTGTTCCTATGCCCACATGAGGGCACCTGCTTTGCCAACTAACAACACTGAGTTGGGCGGAGCATATTTTGGGCAGTGGAAGAAAGTATGCCATAGGGTTGCCATCCACCCCTGTTCTGCATCTCAGTATGCCAAAATCCACCCTTACTTACCAATAGTGGTCAAATAACCATAGAACACCCCCAATGCCTTGGTCAACACTTTGTAATGCTGCAGTGCAGCATTTGAACCGTAGCTTGCTAAAGACTTGCCGAGGATGATGATGGCGGCCCTAATGAAGGGCCTCTTCCCTAGTGAGAAAACGCGCTGCCTCGAGGTAAAGCGTTGACACGGATAGACATTGGGGGCAGCTTTTGAAGGGTATGTGCTTGTTGCCATGATTTCTGTTTGCCCGTAGAACTCTCCACTTGTTAGACGCGCTTAATTTTTGGAACCTCCCGGTTCCACACAACGTCGAGCTTCCCTTCTGGAGCCTGAATATTGCCAGTAGGACTTCCCCCGCTAATAAAGCACATCTGGAAGGGCATCTCGTTCGGGACGACCTTCCCCTAGTCCTAAGCTGTCATGAGCCCTCCAATTCTTTTTTGACTTGAGCACACACTTTCAGTTGGCTTTTCTGCAAAAAGCAAAGGGCGGGGTAGTTTGTTGAAGCATAAGATTGTCTGGGATGTGTCCTCCGTAAAAGGCTAGCAGAGCAACGGTCATGTTTCATGTGACCAGATTCTTTTCAACAGATTTGATTAGACTAGGCCTTTGCAAGGGCTGCTAAAGATAAAGGCTGCTAAACCCGTGTTTACACAGTGCTCATTGAGTAAAGCTGCACACGGGGCTTCCAGCGATTCTTTCTTGAAGCTTGTCAAGGCCGCAGAGTCTTTGTAGCCAGTCTTCGCAAAGTTCCAACACGAAGGGTTACCGTTCTTCGTGACCAGGATTTACAATCAAGTGGCTGCATTTTCTTTGATTCGAGCTCAGACAGAAGACAGCGAGCCAGTCTATGCTAGGCTTATTTGCTGTACAAAGAGAATGTCATGCGGACTCTCCGAGTTGCGAGTAAAACTCATCCGGTTGCAATCTCAGAATTTAATTGCCATTTGGCGTGGCGGCCCTCTGCATTCTGGAGTGCTGGAAGCTTCACCATTTCACCAATTGATCCTCAAGGCTTGGAGCAGCCGGGAAGTTGGGAGGCATAGAATCAGCCTGTGCGGCCTTCCGTTGATTCAGGATTCCAGGATATGTGCCTGCTTGAAACCTTCCATTAACCAAGATATCAGTCAACTTAAGACGAGCCTGATGCGCAGAATGACCACGGCTGTAGAACAGAGGCCAGAACAGGATCCTTGGCATTGGACAAGAAAGGTGTGATTGCCGCCTTCATGTGGCTATGAATTTTGCAGTTGTGGGGGAGCACCACGCTGTAGAAATGGTTGATTTGCCCCAAAGGGTCCCCCAACTAACATTCATATCCATGTTACAGTTGCCTTCTTGGCCTCTGTATTTATGAGATTCACTAGGTTCTGTGGTTTGAGACCTGAGAATGGACAGTTTCTGGGGGTAGGTTTGGAGGCTTGGCTGTCTCCCGACCCAGACGGCTTCGATCAAAAAGGTAGGCTCTCTAGCCTAAACAGTTCCCCTAGTGCTAAGCGGATAATGGAACGGACACACTCGTTCTTTTTTGCCGAACACCCCCTTTGCCTTTTGTTGGTGCCTGGTGCCGAACGCTCCAGGCATGAAGGGCAAAGGCAAAGGCAAGTCGAACCGCGGCAAAGGGCACAAGCTCCCGAGGGTCCGAAGCTTAGTTGCTCGACCAAAAGAGTGGATTTAAACCACTCCACATGGGTACTCGGTCACAAGAGTGTGCCAGGATGAATGATCAATTCACCCTGATTTTTGGGCTTCTGAAACTACAGGACCCCCCCCCCCTTTTCATTATTTGATTGGGAACCAAATTGCCACGCGGACTCTGTCGCGAGGAGCGGATCTCGGAGGCCACCATGATCGGCGAGGTCCTGGAATGGAAGGGCAAGCGCCCGGGCTGCATCGCTGAGATTTGGGTGGGCCCATTTGAGTAAGACATCCTCAAAGATACCCGAGCGAAATTGTGGTTTACAGGGACACCACCCCCAAAAACGGACTTTTGTGTGAATCTGAATATTGTCGAACACTAGGGTTTCCCTACCCATGTTGAGGGTTCGTCTAGATGGGTATGAATACTAGGTAGAAATGGACCGTCTGGCGGGCATCGTGAAAGCAATCGGGATGCTTGTCCACCAAACCGTTTTGGAGGGTGCTCCACGTTGAAACTCATACCACTTGATCAACGATGCTTCGGCAAGGCAGAGTGTGATCCAGATCCGAGTGGGGGTTTCCGCTAGTGAAGATCCAGCTAGGTGGATCTTCTCCTTTGCGAGCATCCACAAGAAGGGCTCCCTCCTTTCACCCACTTGAGTGCGGGTTTCGGTGTCCGATTGGATTCGATCCGAGAAGCGGGCGAGGTATGGCTGGATCAAGCCGCAGGAGCCCATCACGCATGAGAAGGCCTTTCTGGCAGTGACTGATGTGGGCATATCTTAACATAGGTCCAATATGGCGGTTTTCCTTGTGGTTTCTCTTCAAATCAAGGTGAAGAAGGGTGCCCGCAAAGATCACACTCATGTGGGTGGGTCTGTTCTTGCTCACTGGTCCAATGCCGATTGCGACCTTGTGATTTTTCCGAAGACCAGGTTCTTAGCCAGGGTTCCGGAAGATACATCTGCTATTTTCAGGTGCTTTGGGCAAGTGAGAGCGGGTATCCCCTGTTGATTGGCTTCAATGACAGCTCCAAAGGAAGCAAACCATTTTTGTGGTCCTGTATTCCAGGCCAGCAGACACGGCGGCAAGATCTTTGTGAGCCAGGCCTCGGAAGCGGGGTTTCTCCCCATGTGAGAATGACGGACCTCCAAATGGGGAAAATCCTTTTGGTTTCCCAAGCCAACCTTAAACGTTTTTGTACCCCAACACCCGACTACCCGACTGGAGTTGGCACACCTTTTGCCTTCAGGAAGACCTGGTGGGCGTGACAGAGCTCTCTGCTGGGCGGCTTTGCCAGTTCCATCTGTCCCATGGCAAATTCGAGTCTATGTTCGCTTTGGCAAGAGGCGTTTTGGGCCAAATTTCGAACTGCGGGTCGGAGCGGCTCGATGAGATCCGAGCGGTTCATAGCAAGACCGGTCACGCCGCGCGCTGCAATGCCTTGCTGAGGTTCTCAGATGCTTCGGGCCTTGGAGCTGAGGAGGTCTTGCAAGCCTAGCTCTTGCGCTTCCAGACTCTTGGCCTTAAAAGTTACTCTTGTTGGAGGGCAGTGGGCTTTGTCAAACCTGAAGCTTGCTTACTGCGTTGTTATTCTGCCAGCCCATTTTGGTTGTTGGACACGTCAAATGGGGTTATTATTTTGAAAGCTGCATCGTGCCATCGGTTAGACCACCATGTGGGATTGTTTTTTCTTTGCCCATGCGTCTAAGGAACGGTTCGTCTTGGTGCGTCGGCTCAAAGAAAGCTGTGAAGTGTGCAAGCGGAGTATGCGCGAGGATCGATTCCACAAGCTCCCCGGAGCAGTTTGTCTAAACACCACGCAGAGTGGCAGCCCTGCCGTGGCAGGGGCTGGCTCTGTGCAACTTGGAAAATGTACCCAACATCCAGATCCTGAGAATAATAGGGGACAAGATGTTGTTTCCCAGGGCGATGCTTGTGGCAAACGGAAAGCCAGAAGCTGTGAGTCCAGAGAAGGACTTCAGAATTGTGGGCAGAGTCAAGAAAAGGTGAGCGCACTTCGCACTTCGCACGTTCGATCAAAGCATTCCGAGAATCTGGGCTAGGTTTTGAGCACACCTCTTCGGGGCATTTTGCCTTGGTCGGTTTCAAAAGGAACCAAAAGGACCCGTTTTTCGAGGTAGGCCTTGCTAAGCTGCGAGGCCGAGCCTGCGCCTGGGGCGGAGATCGTGCCCAAGGCTTCCAGGCTTGTGGGGCCTTGCGCGGGCAGTTCTTCGGGGTCTTGGAACACGTGTGGATTATGTGTCTCAAATGATTGACGGGCCAAACCAGTTCTGGTTGAACGCCTTTCTGTTGAATGGCAAGGTGATTTGTTGCTCACTTCTGCACTCAGCCGAATGCTCCCCCATGGAGATGCTCAATAGGTGCCAACCTTTCCTCGAAGTCCTGCGCCTCAGGGTCACCCTGCCAGTGTTCGTGCCCAACCGCCCTTCTGCGGAGGACAGTTTCAGGTCTCTTTGGAACACCCTGCTGAGACGTCACTGGTTGATGCTATTTAGATGCTGAATATGAAGACAGCAACAAGAAGGAAGGGCAGGAAACTCAGAGTCGAGGGTTTCTGAGGGAAGCTCAAAGGAAACAACCCAACTTGGAGAAATTCTCCATTGAGGACTGCAATTGCCTTGCTCGCGAACTTTGCGCGTTGACTTTTTGATGCGAGGACATTGACAACTGGGACGACGGGGATGACGAGGTGTGGGTCATGCTAGGGCAAGCAGTTGGGTGACTGCAAGTGGCACCCTTAAGCCCATTTTGGTGTCATCATCCCCTTTCCAAAAGAAGATGTTTGAACCATCTACCTTCACCTGGAATCATAGCAAAAAGGTCTTCCGGCTTCCTTTGCTTCGACGAGGCATTTGCAGGAGAAGTCGTGAGCAACTCCAATAATGCCACTTTGCTGCACAAGCGCAAAAGTCAGCATTTGCAAACCTTTTCCTTTATTATCCTGTGTGTTGGAATTACATGTCAATGAAACCAAGGAAGGTTGTCATGTCCTTTGTTTTCAGACACCATATGAGCAGGCAGAGCAGTTTGATTCCATGTCCACACTGGCAAGGCAAGCCAACATGCAAGAAGCATGCATGACTCAAGCGTAAGGCCGATGAATGGTGGTCATCATCCATACCAGATTGGTGGCAGAAGGACACTCCCACGCAAAGCATGATCTGCGTAGACGCTTAAGCACTGAAGAAGGCTTTGAGCGATGTTAATGGGTGTTGCTCGAGACGAGCGCGGCCTCCAAGCTGCTGTGCCTGCAGGATGCAGCTGCAAAGGCTGTGCCGAAGACTCCGCCTGAAAGACCAGGCGAGAGGACCTTTTTGCAAGGCTCTGTTGGTATCAGACGATGCAAGACTTAGCTGCCAAGTCGTACAAACAGCAGCATGTTGAAGGTGTCGGTTTGAAGCCGGGCTGTTGCTTTTGTTGCACAAGTTGCGCTGAATCAAACCTAAGACACGTGCAAGGCTGGACAGAGACCTGGACCAGACCGGTCTCGCTGCCGCGCTTCACGTCGTGAGTTGAGTGGAAAGGGTCTGGTTCTGACCTTTGCCGGGTCTGTCAAATCATGTCAAATCAACCCTTTTCATTTGGCATCAGAAACCATGACCGAGATCCACATGCGACTATTGAACCATCAGTCCACCCTCAAGTGGCTTTCAGCCTCAGATCGCACCAGCACAGGAAAGTGCGGTTGACTCCTGGGCAGGCCGGGAGTAGCTGTGACTTTCGTGAAATGCATGCGCATGAAGTAGCCAGAGGCTTCAGTGCCATCTGATGTTCACCTCCAGGCGGAGCTCAAGTTCAGGAGCCGGAAGGCTGGCGTGAGCTCACCATTGCTTGGGGGGCTGCTGACCTCGGCGATCCACCTGCCTCTCTTTTTGCATGGGTGGAAGCCCCAAGCACCGTGAGCCCCGCGGGCGGTTGCTAGGTTGGTGGCCGACTGCGGCTTCCCAGGCTCGAAGCTTCCGTCATTTGTTTCTGGTGGAGATCCTCAAATTGATCCAAGCATGTTAATTGGAGACTCCGTTGATGGAGTCTGCTTCAAAGTGACCTGCTTTCGATTTGGAATCACTGAATGGTGTGGGGTGGACGCTTGAAGACTTGGCGTGTCAGAAGCTCCGTAATGTTTGGCTTTGGGCAGGATGTGAGGCCTGATGGGCACGTGGTCTGGAGCCCAGTCAGATCCCGAAAGCTGGCGAGGTCAAAAGAGAAGAAGGCCACGTCAGGGCTTTGTATTTCTGGTCAGTTGAGCAGTTCAGCTGTCAAGCTGTCAAGCTGTCAGGCTGTCAAGCGCAGATGTTACACTGGGGTTGTTGAATGGGAATTCCGCGTGTCTTTTTGAGGGGGCGACTTTTCGATCATCTCTTTCGGGTAAATAAAAGGGTGTGAAATCCGTCTTTGAGCCCTCAGGTGGTGCCTCCCTGGAGAGCTGGGCGCCCGGGCACGTCCCGCGAGCCCTGCGCCTGAAACGAAAGTTCTTCGCATTTGGGAGTCCCTTTCTAGGTGCTGATTTGTAGCAATTGGCGCAGATCTTGATAGGTGGGTGTGTTCTAAATCGGGGGAACAAAAGGAAAGACGTGGGTTGTTTGTTTGTCCTTTCAAGCAGTTTAAAAAGGAAAGATATGGGACATACGGTCGACCCCAGACTTCCCACGAGATCTGAGGCCGATTCGCCGGCAGCGGCCTCAGTGCCATCACCCGGGAGGGACGTCAGTCCGGATCAGAGTTGCTGTCTTCAGGCTGGGCCTTTGTTGCATTTGTCTTTGGGGATAGATGTTCAAAATCAGGGCGCCATTTTTTTGGGCTGGTCTTGAAGGTGGTCAGCCACAATGAAATCAGCCATTTTCAAGATGCCCCTATGGGATGTTTCGGGAAACATCCCAACTGCGCCCTTGCTTGGGACCATTCCAGGTTTTTCCCCCATTTTGGGAAGTTCTATTCAGCTCGCAAGCTGAGGAAGAGCGGCCGCCTGGCGACGGCCTTAGCGCAAAGGAATCCAGGCTTGAGCCCCCTGGGGCTCCATAGTCCCCGCTCTGATCGAGCGCCTCTAGGCCTTCCAGACTCTTAGACTCTTACAGACTCTTAGGCTTCATTGAAAGTCCAGCTGTGCAGGCTACTACGATGTGCTCCAAACTGCGCGTCCCAAGAGCAAGCCGAAGGCCCTCGGATGGGACCGCGAGTACATGGCAACCTAGCCCCCGATCAAACGGTGAGGAAACTCATTTCTTTTTGGCTTCCCTTGGAAGCAACCCAAAATCTACAGGTACCATTAAACAAAACACCTGTTCTTTTCAACATTCCAAACAAGGCGAGGTTCCCAAGGTTGGCGCGTCCCAGAAATGAGGTTTGGTCTAAATCTTAGCTGATTGAAGGTCAGTTTGCCAGGAAGTTGGGGGACTCGCTGGGTAAGTGCCCCAGTGGTCCGTTGCTGGAAATGAACCAAGCAAGTCCAACCCTAGTACCCGGTTAGTAAGAACTCGCTTGTACGCCTTCGGGGCACCTGGTGAGTCTATGTGTCAGGGGTACCAATGAACGGACTGAATCCAATGGTTGCTTCAGAAGCCATCCAAGCAGATTCCCGTTTCCCCTATGAGTCCTATGAGACATACCCAAAATTTGGATCCCCTTTGCTGGATGATCTTTTTCTTCTTAGGACACCATGGACCTGAAGCAAACCTTCCACGCCCCGTCAGGTGGTGCCTGCACTTCTAGCGCCCCCGGCCAAGGAGGCGATGCCTTGCGAGGCGATGGGATCTGGGGAGCTTGGGTTGGTTTGGTCAAATGTTTTTCCGTTTGTTTTTGGTTTGCAAGAAACAAACAAACAAGGGGCAGCGTCTGACAGGGCTTTTTTTCCCGGCAAAGGGCAACCTGGGCTGAAGCTCCGCGGACTTGAAGGCAAGCCCAGGTTCCTGGAGTTGGTCACCCTCAGCAAGAATGGAGCAGCGTGGGAGAAGGCTCTAGATTCTTGAGCCACACCCGTTTCAAAACTTCAAACAGATCCCCAAACGGGACCACACTATTTTGAGACCGACCCCTACAGTGATTTAGCTGCCTTCTGTGCTGGCCGCAAGCCTGTGGTGTTGCGGTTTTGCGGTTTTGCCCAGGCAAAACCTGTGTTGCCAAAGTGCAAAGGTGAGCCCGAAAAGGCGGGTCTGGAGTTTGCGCCCATGGCACATGCGGTATGAAACTCATCTGGAGATCGCGTGGAGCTGGCTGGCATGATCTCGATTTGGCTGGGATTGCAGTCGCAGGCGCGGCCAGTGACCGCAAAGCCGCCGAGTCCTGGCGGGCAGGCAGGGGATTTTCCCGAGTGTTGCGCGGAAAAGGGATATTGCACTGAAGACGGCACCTTCGAAACGAATCATCATTTTTTGTTGATACTAAGGATTTCCAGGAACCCCTGACCTCATGTACAAGCAAAAGAGCTACAACAGCATTCTGAAACAGAAGTAGCATCTTCGAATTAGCTTTTATTAAATCAAATAGCCCCTGGCCGAGTTGGGCAGTGCGAAGCGGTACAATAAAAGGTATGAACATGCAATGTTAATAAGATATACAGTGTTAGAGATAAAAGGAAGTTTAGAAGGAACTTCCGCAGTACAGAAACTAATTGAAAGGTAGCTTGCGTAGGTAGATAGAATCAGAAGATCTGACAGCGCGTGCGAAAAGAAAACGTATGCAGACAGTTTGCGCGCAGATAAGATGAAGAACGAATGAAAACATGCGAGTGTGGGCGGTGGCGGGGGAATATAATCGCGAAAAAGAGTGACCTCTGCCGGTTTTGGCAGGTCCACGTCGATGTCCATCCACCTCTGTCTCGACACCTGTCTGGCGCAGGGGTCCAGCGCACGGTCGACTGCAATGGCAACGCGAAGGTTTCGCAAGGTTTGGATTGCGTGGCAGGCGCCTCGCTTTCGCAAGGTCAGGTACAGATTTCCTGGCAAACGCATTGGCAAGCTAGGTGAGCCCCAAGAAGTGAGGGAGTTGCTTCAACAGAGGCGAGTTCTGTCCCCGTTCAATGTTTCCTTTGCAATCTTTACATTCCGTCGCTTTCCAAAGTTATCTCAGTGACGAGAGACATCAAGTTGACATCAGTCTCATTTTTCTTATTATTTGTATCAGTCCACCACTTTCCTATCGTATCTCAATATCTGTTGTCAACGTTCTTTTCAGACTCTCTCTCTCTCTCTCTCTCTCTCTCTCTCGCTTCGGCCCTTGTCCACCCTGTCGCTCCTGAACTCGGTAAAGAAGCTTGTCAAAAAATACCCTGAAAAATCGACCCCGCTTTTCTCGCCAGGCTCCGGCAAAGGGTTTGGAGCCGCCCCACACTCCGCGGAAGCCGCCGGAGAAGGTTCAGAAGATTCTTGAGAAGCCGCCGGTGAAGGCCCCTGAGAAGTTTCTCCAGAAGCCTCCGGAGAAGGCTTTTGAGAAGCCTCCCGAGAAGCCCGCAGAGAAACCTGTGGAGACGGAGGAGCGTGCTTCATGGGAAACAATCCGGGGGTCACTTGGCGCATGCAGTTATAACGCCTTGCTTGCCTGTCATGGAGCTAGTCGAGAGGAGCCAAAACAAGCTTCCCTGATCATCGACATAGATGAGGCGCTCCTTGGGTGTTGTGACTTCATTCCTGTGCGTGGCTGTCAGGGAGAAGTGAAGGCCACGGCCAAAGAGCCGGCCAGGCGGGGATCTGTTTGCTGTCGCTGTTGGCACCCTTGCTCCTCCACCACGTTGGTTTTTGGCTGCGCCCCCCAAAAAAAGGGCCCAAGGCGGAATGCGAATTTGACTGAGGGCAAGTGTCTTCACAGAATCTCATTCTTGCACACCCGCACTTTTTCGGGAAGACGCAGGAAAGTGCGCCCGCTGCCGAAGCCAGTTGCCGTGTCCAGCGCCATCAATTTAGAGGCATTGCTTTGCAGCGTTCGGGCCAGCGAATGACTTGACGCATCGACTGATTTGCCGACGTGTGTGTGTGTGCGGAGTGGCAGAAAACCCTGCCACCAACACTTTTTCCTCAGCAGGGGGCGCAGGGAGTCCCAGCGAGCCCTGCGCCAACGAAGACGCTCGCTGTTAACTCGTGATATCCAGCCTGATCAGCTGGACGTACCTGCAATTGTGATGCTTGTGAATGTCCTATTGGCCCCCTCCCTGAACCGCCGTTGCTTCTGTGTGTCCCTGTTAAAGTAGCTACAGGGAAGCCAAGTGCATTGCGAGCCGAAACTCATCGTACTCGAGACTTCTCAGACTCATCAGTTGTACTCGAGACTCAGCAGTTGTACTCGAGACTCATCAGTTGTACTCGAATGATTAGCACCCTTTCTTGGGAGTTGAAGTGTGACTACCCCAGCTTGGGGGAACCTCGGGTGTACCCATCGTGTGACCCCGGGCCGGTTCGCCGGAAAATTTGACCTCAACGTTCTTATCACAGTCCAGCGGAATTTCACGTTTAAGCAGGAACTCTCTACTTTCTGGTTTCCGTGACCCGCGTGTTTGTCTTCCTTCTCTTCGCCCGCTTAGGGATGTTCGCGGCGTTCACCTTTTTCCTCTTCGTTGTCTTCTTGTCTGTCTACCTGTTCCTACTCCTCGTTTTCCTCGCGCAGTTTGGCTTGCCGTCTTCTTCCCCTTCCGTTGCTATTTCGCGTTCTTCCTCTTGGCCCCGTTGCGGGATTCGACGCCCTCCTCTTCGAGCCTCAGTCTTCATCCTCTGTGCTGACCCGGGCGGGATGCGACGCCCTAAAAACGCTTACTACAACCTCTCTTTCCTTTCCTTTTTTCCCGCCTTTCCCCTCCTCTCCCTTCCTCCTTCTTCTCTCTTTCCTCCTTTTGTTTCCTGGTCTTCTGCTTCTCCTTCCTTTCTTTTCTTCCTTTTCTCCTTTCCCCGGGCGGGCTGCGGCGCCCTAAGTACGCATCTTGTTCCCCTTTGTCTTCCTTTTTCTTTTCTTTCTTTCTTTCTTTCTTTCTTTCTTTCTTTCTTTCTTTCTTTCTTTCTTTCTTTCTTTCTCTCTTTCTCTCTCTCTCTTTCTCTCTTCCTTTCTTTCGTTTTCCCCCCCCCCCCCCTTTTTTTCAACTACTTCCTGTTGTTCCTCTTCGCCCGTTTAGGGATGGCCTGGTCCTCTTCTCGGTCTTCACCTTTGCGGTGGTGGTCGTGTTCCAGGTTTAGGAGGGTTTCTGGGCTGTTTGGGGTTTTTGCCCTTGGCGGTGACCCTAAAACCCTGTTTTTCGTGTTTCTTGGTTGGGGTTTTGCCCGCGGAGACCCAACGTGGGGCTTTCTGTTTCTTTTGGGTTCTTGCTCCGTTTTGGGGTCTTCGTCCGTCTTTCGGGCGCTTCTTCTTTTTTCCTGAAGCAGCTGCGGATTTGGTCTTCCGGATACAAAAGATAGTGTACGCCCCTCTTGGAGGGGCGTGTGTGTGCGGAGTGGCAGAAAACCCTGCCACCAACACTTTTTCTTCAGCAGGGGGCGCAGGGAGTTTCAGCGAGTCCTGCGCCAACGAAGACGCTCGCTGTTAACTCGTGATATCCAGCCTGATCAGCTGGACGTACCTGCAATTGTGACGTTTGTGAATGTCCTTTTGGTCCCCTCCCTGAACCGCCGTTGCTTCTGTGTGTCCCTGTTAAAGTAGCTACAGGGAAGCCAAGTGCGTTGCGAGCCGAAACTCATCGTACTCGAGACTTCTCAGACTCATCAGTTGTACCCGAGACTCAGCAGTTGTACTCGAATGACTAGCACCCTCCCTTGGGAGTTGAAGTGTGTGTGTGTGTGTGTGTGTGATTGTGTGAAATGCGGTTGATCCACGACCTTGCGGCAGGATGCGGACAACGGGAAGCTGAATTCAGGCAGAGACATCCTTGCGTGTTTCCATGAGCATTTTGAAACGGTGGGCATGTGCGTGCGTGCGGGTGCGTGCGTGCTTGTTTGTCTGTTTGTGTGTATTGTTCTTGTGTCGCATTTCCCATCCTGTTGTCACCATCTGTCTAGTTTGTTGGTTTCCCTCTGGGGCTGAAACAAGGCTAGTGCCAGAGAAGTACACGACTTGCTTTTCATCTTTGCTTTCCGCAGGCAAGGCGGTTCCGCCTGGAGCTGAGATGTTGCCGCCAGTGGGGGGGTGCAAGTTGCAGAGAGCGGCCTGTGGGTTGCGAACAAGGCTCGCGAAGTCTCCTGCAGGGATCCCAGTTGATCCGAGGGTACAATAGTTGGCTCTCTGCTAATGGACACCCGCATAGATGGTATAGCTGGTTTCTTGGCACAAGTGTCGAGCGCGGGCGCAGTCGGATGCGAAAAGATGCACACCCCGTGCAGGTCGAGCTGAAACCAGTTCCAGCCGCGATGAAGGCACCGCCTGCGGCGGCCTTGCCGGCCACGCCAGCTGCCAGTCCGGCCAGTCCGGCCAAGTTTGTCAAAGCTCTGGCGGGGGTTAGTGGGGGTAGCGGGGGTAGTGGGGGTAGTGGGGTAGTGGGGGTGGGGGTGGTCGGGGTGGTGGGGGTGGTGGGGGTGGTGGGGGTGGTGGGGGTGGTGGGGGTGGTAGTGGGGGTAGTGGGGGTAGTGGGGGTAGTGGGGGTAGTGGGGGTAGTGGGGGTAGTGGGGGTAGTGGGGGTAGTGGGGGTAGTGGGGGTAGTGGGGGTAGTGGGGGTAGTGGGGGTAGCGGGGGTAGCGGGGGTAGTAGTTAGGGCAGGCCATGCGCAACTTTTTTCGAACTCAAAAGTCTAGGGTCCACCCTAGGTTTTTTGCATTTTTTGAATAAGCGCCCTAAAGCAGCCATTTTAAAACATATTCTGAAACAGTCTAAACACATCTTGATAAAAAAAAGAATAGTACAGCATACCAAAACGAAAATTGAATTATTTTTTGAAGAATTCAATACACCTAAACATTGCTATTTTCAAAAACACATATTTTTCAAAATATTTTAGAAAATTTGTTTTTTTTTCAAAAGATAAATATATAGCACTTTAAGAAGAATTATTCAATAAGAAACAACATTTTCAATAATTCAATGAGAAGACTTAATAATTAATCATTTTCAACATTTGGATATTCCGAAGTTGCGCGTGGTCCTCCTTGTATGATTTTATCTTCAATACATATAAACCGCTATACTTACATTATACATATAACATATAAGGGTATACATGTTATAATCATAGTATGGTTTCTATCAAAATCATGCCCCGATTCTACCAAAATCATGCCCCGATTCTATCAACATCATGCCCCGATTCTGTCAAAATAGGTGGTGGTTTGGTTCATTGCAATTGCACGTGCTCAAGTTTCAAGCCCAACCCCAAACTCAAAACCCTTAATCCGTCAAACTCATCAAATTTTTCAAGTATCAAACCACTACGTATTTTATATAAGTCTTCCTGCTAAATAATTCTAACAAATTCATATTATTAGAATTACTTAGATATTAATTATTCAAATAATACATATACTCCATCATCATTTTTTGAAGTTGTATAAAACTGTAATGTTTGTTGCTTTGGTTGTTTGATTTTATTACTATTCAACATTTCACAGTATTTCTTTTGCTTTGTAGGGTAGTCGCCCGATGGTCTTCCTATAGATTTTGCTTGAAATATCTTTTCGATTTTTTCCTTCTCCTCAGTGCTTTGTTGTTCGCGTTCAACTGGTTTCATTTTGTCATCAATGGATTTAATCATATCATTTAAGGTTTTGATCTTTTTACCAATCAATGTTATCTTCTTCACTAAATCATTAACAGTATAATTCTCATTTTCAGACATTACTATATACTTATTTAGATAGTTATCTATTTCATTATATATTTTTAAAGTGCAATTATGTTAACTCTACTCTTTAAATACTAATTTTTCATCATTTGATTAACAGTTTCCTGTGTTTCGTTTTCATTACTATCGGATGGTGTTGCTTGTCTACCAAATTTAAAACTTATATTCTGAACATCAGTTTCTAAGTTGATACTGTCTTTAGTTTTATCAATATTCATTTTCTTATCATTTTTACTAATTTTGAAACTTTCTGGAATACATGATCATTTACAATTTCCTTTCTTTTGTATTTGTAATTCATTCTTCATTTCTAAAATCTTTTTACACATTGGACAAGCAAACTCAATAACTGATGTTTCTTTAACAATTTCTCCGCTATCTTCATCTGTTGAAGAAACACTTAAACCTGTCTTATTCTTTTTGGTTTTTCTTTTTTGGCATTTATATTTATATTTACATTTTTATTTTTGATATATTGTATTCCTAGCAGAATTATTTCTAGTGAATAATAACAACATTTTTTTATTTTATTGTCAGTAATTATTACTTGTTTTATATTCTCCACTTGATCTATTGTATTAATATAATCTGAATAACTCCTATTCATATTAAGTAATAAGATAAATTATTTTTTCATTTCTGCCTTTCTTTTCTTGTAAAGTTTTCTCATTGTGTCGTGTTTATTCCATCTATATTCCACAAATTTCTGATGATGTTTTGAGTTTTGATAAGTTTTACCACAACTGCAATGGATAATGGTCATACTAAATAATACGATAAATTATAACTAATCTTATTATTTCATGCATGATAGAATATTCGGAGGGCACAGCAATGGGGTTTTCTTTACAATGCATCAAACTAATTAGCTTCAATGCTTTTGATTGAAACAATGGAAAGCCTGTTCCATTTTATGATATTCGCCACCAGCATATCATAAACATGATGTTCCATTTAATATTAGTTACAAGTTAATTTTTGATTATAATTTTCTATATATCTTTAATATCAACTATGACAGATGTTCCAATAATAAAACCAATAAACATAACTGAATATGAATTCAAGCAATCCAAATATGAGCACGTGCCAAAACTACCATTTAGAAGTATTATAGTTGCTTCTTCAACAGGCGGTAAGACTGTCCTTATTCAATATTTAATATTGAATGTTTATAGAAATTCATTTGCAGGAATATTTATACTTTCACACAGCGTCCATAACGACCTTACATTTACAGAAGTTAAAAGATGCATCAGGAATGAATTGCACGTGGATGATGAGAAAGAACAAATTTATTTTGATAATTATAATCCAAGTGATTTAGAAAATGTAATTGAAAGACAGAAGAAAATTATTAATTATATGAAGAGTCTAAAAAGATAAAGAAACTGCACTCAATATTAATCGTTATAGATGACCACGCAGACGACCCTAAATTTGTTAGATATAGTAAATTATTACATGGATTATTTACAAGAGGCAGGCACGATGCAGTAAGTGTAATTTGTTCAACACAAAAATATAATGTTTTGGCGCCTATCATTCGTTTAAATGCAAGTTCATTATATATTTTTATGTTGAAAATGCAATTGAATTAATGAGTTTCATTGAAGAAAATAGCGCCATTGTTGACAAACAGCAATTATTAGATATGTATCACCAAGCCGTTAATTTTGCTCCATATTCTTTTTTCTACGTGAATATGAATTCAAAAGACATTAACAAAATGTTTCATACAAATTTTGAACAGGCATTTCAAATTACAAATGATGAATAAAGATATTCTAATTTAATATGATATAATAATATGCAAATGAAACTATGTAGATGTGGTGGATTTTATCGTGGAGGTAAACATAATTTTCATACTAATTCTTGGACACATAAACTTTGTAACATTGAAAAGGAGGGCAACGGACGAGGAATTATTCAGATTTCAAAATCATTTTGTTGATGAAGAAGATTTAATAGATGAAACAAATAGCACTGTTTCAACATCAACGCCAAAAAGTGAAAGAAGTTGTATACGCAATTAATAATACTAGTTAGTTTCTATTAATATTTTTAGTTTAAAATAATGAATAACTACATAAGTTCAAGGCAGGTAATTTTTTTAATATATTTTATCTTTTTTACATTCATTAACTCTCTCTAATTTATTTATTATTGCTTTCAAACAGTTTATTTGTAGAATATCAATGCTTGACATTTCACTTGTCGTATTTACAACTATATCTTTTATTACTTTAATAGCCTCTTCATCATCAATTTCTACTGGTTTTGATTTACTTGAACCCATTATATATAGTATTATTTAGATTTTAATTTTTCATTTTTTTTCTTTTTGTGGTTCTTCTTCTTCGTCTTCAGTTGGTGCTGGTATTTCTGTTGGACTTTCAGATGAAGAACTATGGACAGTAATAGGTGGAGAACTATGAACACTAATAGCTTCATTTGATGAATTGCTACTGCTAGCTTGTGCATTTCCTGCTGTTATTTGATTGACTAAATCTGCGATATTTATTGTTGTTGCAATTGCGCTATGTGATAAGTTTAATATTATATCTGCTACTGTAGCTCCGTTATGTAGCATTATTTCTTTCATTTTTGTCAGTTTGAACTTCTTTTCTTCTTCTTCGCTGTCATCCTCATCTGGTGGTTTCTCTGGCGGTGGTTCTGGCGGTTTGTTGTTGTCAAGCATTTTAGTAAAGGCTGACACCATTGCATCGCGTTGGTTTTTCAGTGTTTGTGTTGCTTGTGTTCTTGTTGGTTCATTTCTTTTGTATGTGTTGTGCCAAAAGTTTTTAAGCATTATTTTAAACATATTGTCTTGGTTTTCCCTTACCTTAAACGCTTCAAATGTCATATTTAATTGCTGATTTGCATCATTGTATAACTTTTCTTGAGTCTCTCTGGTTTCTGTAGCAATAGTATCTGTGTTGGTTGCAGTGTCAATAAATTCTCTCGGTGTGCCCCTTTTTGATCAATTTCGGTGGCTGTATTGTTGTTGGTGTGATTGGTTTTGTTAGGTTATGTATTGAAAAACTGTCGTCATCATATTTATCATTGAATTTCTGCTTCTTTCTTTTCAGTATATTCTTAGTTAGTATTATCATTATTATTATTATTGTTATTTATATTTCTATTTCTTACTTTGCCCTTAAAACTTGCCTTGAGTTCTTCTATTCTACCCTTGCTTAAATTTTTTATCCGCCCGCCATTATCAATAGTGTCTAAAATCATATCTGTTAAATATTCTTTGTATGATCTCATCTTGCCTCTGCCCTTGTGTTTCAATTCTTCTTGTATCTCGCTTGCTTCTGGCACTTGAATGCCTCTTAAATAGAATTGAAATTTAGTGTCTTTGACGGTTAAGTTAGGGTTCTTTTGCCAATAAGTAGGACTAATGTTATTATCTAGTGTTGTTTTAAATAATGGCGTCATTGGCAATGGTGGTGGTTGTTGGGCTGTTGAACTTGATGCTCCTGTTGCTTGTTGAACTGGTGTCGCGTAAAAATTGTCATCTGCTGCTTGAGGTGATAGTTCAACATCTTCTATGCGCATTGTTTGCTGGTCGTCTGCTACCGCTCTACCTGCTGGCGTTTGTCGTGGTTCTGTTGGTGC